GACTATGTATTTAAGAAAATTTCTCAGTGATTTAAAAAGAGACTGCCGAGCTTGGTGCCAAGTGCCTTATTTTACTGTCTTAATTTCCAGATGTGACATTTGTAAACTGTTTTTATGTTTTGTTTTCTTTTTTTGTATGGAATATTTGAGTTATTACCAGAGGAAACTGTCTAATACCGTACTGCACTTTGCCAAATAAACTCCATTATTCTCCATCATGTTCTTATTTCCTTTCCATCTGTTTCGTAATGCGTCGTTTAACGCAGTGCAGCCAGCTGAATGTGACAGGATTCTCTGGTCTTCGCTCAGATCAGTGCTGTATGAATATGCGTCAGACTAGCTGTGTGTCATGTATGATGGTATGATATGATGGCAGCTCGGAGGCTGTCTGGCTCTCACTACGTCACCTGCAGTTCTCTCTGCACAAAAGAGATGAGCTGACATGTTTTCCCCCCAACTTTACTGTTTTCCATATGCTCATATATGGCATTGTCCTCTATCTCAGTGCTGTGAGTGATCTAAACATGACCTAATAACCCAGTGTGGTGGGTTTGTTGTTGAATTGCTTAGGCTGGCAGTCTGCGAGTCCACAGCTGCGGTTGCCATGGTTACGGCAGAGCACGCTCCATACCGAGCAACCCTCCTCCACCAGCGAGTGCCATTGTGTACATCGCGCATCACGTGCCTGCCATTATGCTGATGGGACAGTACATCCAACTGTTGGAGCCTCTTCATCTATCTCAGCTAACTGTTTTGTTTATAGGGGTCAAGGAGCTTTTCCTCGCTTTACGCCAACGCCTAGACAAAAAAATGCCATTTACAGGCTGGTAAACACTCGAGAGCCTTTTGTAAAACAAAGACCACACAGCATACAGTGCTCACTGTGTGGTCTGCGCTTTACATAACATTGTTCTTGTTTGTTTTGAATGTTTTCAGCTTCCATCGCATGAGAGGAAGACAGTATTAACAAGGATACATAATGATCTAATATGAAGGAACCAATTTTAAGTGTCTCTCTTGTGAGAGTGTGTGTGTGTGTGTGTGTGTGTATATATATATATACACACACACACACACTCGGTGCCTCGGTGCTGTGAAAAAGTATTTGTCCCCAGTTTCTTCTTTTTTGCTAATTTGTCACGTTTTAATGTTTCGGATCATCCAACTAATTTTAATACAAGATAAAGACAACACGAGTAAACACAAATTGCAGCTTTTAAATGACCATTTAAAACCTATATCACCCGTGTAAATAAGTAATTGCTCTCTTAAACCTAATAACTGGTCTTTACCACCCTTGGCACTAAAAATCAAATGTTTGCGATAACTTGCAATGAGTGCTTTGCATCGCTGTGGAGTAATTCTGGCCCACTCTTCTATTGGAGAATTGTTTTAATTTGGCTATGTTGGTTTTCAAGCATGAACTGCCAGTTTAAGGTCTTGCCACAGCATCTCAACGGGATTTTAGTCATGACTTTGACCCTGGCACTACAAAACCTTATTTCTGTTTCATTTAAGTCATTTAGAGGTGAACTCGGTTCTGTGCTTAAGATCATTGTCCTGCTGCATAACCCAGCTGCGCTTGAGCTTTAGGTCACAAACTGACTTCATCAGTTCACAGAATATTATTCCAAAAGTCTTGGGGGGTCATCTAGATGTGTTTTGGCAAATGTGAGATGAGCCTTTGTGTTCTTTTTGGTCAGCAGTGACTCTCCCATGGATGCCATTTTTGCCCAGTGTCTTTTCTTATTGTGGAATTGTGGGCATTGACCTTAACTGAGGCAAGTGAGGCCTGCAGTTCTTTAGATGTTCATCTGAGATCTTTTGTGACCTCCTGGATGAGTCACTGATGTGCTCTTGGTGAAGTTTTAGTGGGCTGGCCACTCCTGGGAAGGCTCACCACTGCTCCACATTTTCTTCATTTGTGGAATATGGCTCTCACTGTGGTTCTCTGGAGTCTCAGAGCCTTAGCAATGGCTTTGCAACCCTTTCCAGACTGTTAGATTTCAATGACTTTGTTTCGGATCTCTGTTTGAATCTCTTTAGAACGTGGCATCATGTGCTGCTTTTTGAGAACTTCTAGGCTGCTTCACGCTGCCAGACAGGTTCTATTTAAGTGGTGTTTAGATTCAACAGGTCTGGCAGTAATCATGCCAGGATTGAACCCAGTAGTCAATTGAATTTGGTTAACTGGCTGATTTAGTGGCTAAGGGGGCAATTACTTTTTCACATAGGGCCAGGTAGGGCTAAACAGCATTTTCCCTTCAGTAAATGAAAGCATCGTATAAAAACAGTGTTTGTTTTTGCTTAGATTATCTTTGTCTAATATTGAAAGTAGATTTATGATCTGAAACATTCAAGTGTGACAAATATGCAAAACATAGGAGAAATTGGGAAGGGTGCAAATACTATTTCACAACACTGTATATGAGTATATGCCAGCTGCCTTTTTTCATGACAATATTTTTATGTGACAATATAAACCCGTTTTGTCACAAAAACGTATAAAACTATTCTAATATGATGCCAATATTCTACAGGTTTCAAACAATGTGTAGGAAACTGTAAAATTCAGAGCTTTTCATTGATGAACAGGGATGTAGATTATTCCATAGTGATTGAGAAAGCTGTATAACATCAATCCTAAACTTAAATAAAGTAAATATTTTGAATAATTCAAAAAAGTGGTGCCCAAAATCTCACTGATCAAATGGCTGTGCATAGTAATTTCATTCTTAAGACATTACTATAAATAGATAATGAAGGTTTATTGTTTAATGACATTTTTACCAGGTCATAACTTTGTGTTGTTCCCAAAATACTTTAAATTGTGAATAAATCATCAGTTTATGTTTCGGTGTACTTTATAATAGTGTAATGTGTACTGAATATAGTATTATTAAATAACAATTTTCAATATGAGAAATTATTCCAAATTTTTGATAGATAGACTATATTTGTCATATGGTGTACATCACGATCTGCTGAGATATGCAGACTGTAAGATATGCAAGTCTTGCAGTAACAGTGTGTAAAGTCCAACAGTGTGATGGAGTGATACTGTATGACATAATTAACATAAAAGTTGGACCATAAAACTTCACACTGTCCAGCTTTCATATGTTTTCTGCTTTCATCTGAAAGGTATCAAAATAAGATGTATTTATACTGCCTTGATAATAATTGTCATCTTTTTCATACTACATTATTGTAATGAAAGGGGAATTCCACTGATTTTTCATAGTTTCTGTGTATTTCAGTAGTTTTATATGTATGTAATGTTAATAATGATGAAATATGTTTTCTTTGGGAACTATTTTGCCTTAAATGCCCTGCATGTACCTCTCTTCCATGATTTTTCTTTTCATGTTTTATACCACTGTTTTTCAACCCTGGTCCTGGAGGTCCACTGCCCTGCACTTTTAGTGTTTTCCCTTCTCTTGAAACACCTGGTCCAAGTAATCAGCCCATTAACAGCCTATTATTGAGTTAAAGTGGCTGTGTTAAGGCAGGGAAAGCACAAAAAAGGGGCTGTTTTGTACCAAAACCTTCTCAAAACTACCATAAAACAATGTTTCTGTGAGGAAGCTTGTAGGTGCATCAGACTCTTCAGACGTCTGGTTCCTATCAACACCACAGTGAACGATTCTGACTTGGTGAGTTTCTCTAACACCGAGCCTTTCAGACCAAACCGCTCTGACTTTGACTTTGTTTACATCTTAACCATTTAACTGTGCAGACATTATGAAAACAATAGTGGAATTTCCCTTCAAAACTTAAGGACAATATGAGGTTGAAGACGGCAAACAGTCCTTTGTGCCAACAGGGGAGGAGAAGATCAAAGAGCAGGAGCAGAAACCTAAACAGGGTTTATGTGTATTTATGAATACAGGATGTTATCGGCTCATTGTTGATGTACAGTGAATTTGGTTCTGGGGCGGTTTTAAAGCAAACACAGCCATATTGATCTTTACTCAGTTCACAGTGGCTGGGCGACTTCACAGCTGTCACGATGAGAGGAAAGCAGTAAAAGATGAGAGCGTCAGATCAATAGCACAGTGGGGCCTGACTGTCTTTAACCTTTCCTGCGCTGCCTCAAGGTCACTGCTGTAGCTATAAAAACACTTAATGATTAATGTACAAAGAAAGCAGAGTAGAGTTTAAATATTATTACTATGCGTAAATAGCAAGGCTGGACTAACTAATGTTCCTGTTGAGTTCAGGGGAAAGCCCTCATATTTTGCACCTGATAAGGAAATAAAAATGCTTGTTAGGCTAAAAATAAAGACTAAAAGGGAACTCCACCGATTTTTCAAAATTCCTGTGTGATTAAATGGTTAAGATGTAAACAAAGTCAGAGTGGTTTGGTGTGAAATGCTCCACTCTAGAGAAACTTACAGTCAGAATTGTTCACAGTGGCAGTGATAGGAACCAGACATCCAGCTCCTTCACAGAGAATTATTACATGAAATGGTTATGAATACTCGACCTGATGTCTGACACACTGTTTTACGGTAGTTTTGTGATAAGGTTTTGGCCAATATTGACCTATTTATTATAATCTATTCATGGTGGAGGGATACATGAAGGGTGTTCTAAGGCAAAATAGTCCCCAAAAGATTTAGATTCAGATTTACCACTATTTTACCATCATCAACATTACATACAAAAACATACAAAAAAAGTCTTGTAGGTTCTCTGGTGGTTTTTGATAGTAAATAAAACGGCTATATTTGTGTTCTGGGCATGGTGACCCCTGGTTCCTATCACCACCGCTGTAAAGAAGTCTGAGTCTCTACAATGAACCGTTTCACACCAAACTTAGAAAAATTGGTGGAGTTGCCCTTTAAAACAGAACGCGGTGGGAAGCTCATCCGCCAGACGTCACGCTGGTGGGACGCTCCTCTTCTCTGATTGGACGGAAGCCCTCAAGCTCCCCGCCCTCTCGCGTCAAGACGAATAAAGGCCCGGATCAGCGCCTCCTCCTCCGGCAGAGCTGCTCAGTCTGGAGACGTGGAGGAGCTCGGCGGTGGAAGCGGCTGCTGTGTGGCTATGAATGGACGCATTTAGCGTTTTTTATCCGCACGTAGTTCCGCTGTGAAGCCTCTAAGATGCCTTTCCCGCCTATAAACTTGCACTCGCGGATATCTTCGCCGGGGAAGGAGCTCTTCAGGAAGAAGAAGCCCAGCGCTGGCGTGGTGCCCCCGCCTCCTCAGCCTCTGCTCGGCCACAAGGCGAAGGCGGAGAAGGAGGAGATGGAGAGGGAGAAGCTCTCCACGTCGTGGCCGGCGGCTAACCTGAAGCAGCTGGGACGAAAACGCAGCAGCAGCAGCATCATCATCAGCAGCAACAGGCGGGTAAGGTCAGCGCAGAGGGCGCAGCTCCGCACCTGGAGACGGACACTAAGAGCTCGTGGGTGACCGTGGCGAAGCCGCTGGGCAGCTCGTGTGAGAGCGTGCCCCGGTCGAGCTCCGGGGAGTCGGCGGCGGCGCCCCGCAGCAGCAGGCACTCCTCGCGGGCCTCGCTGGGCAGGGAGGGGGAGGAGGTGGAGCAGGAGGTGCGCTTCTCCCTCAGCCTCACGCCCGAGGCCGTGCTCGTTATCCAGAAGCGCAACCTGGAGAAGCAGATGCTGGCCAAGCAGCAGAAGTGCTGCGGGTCCGCGGACTTCAGGCACCGCCGGGTCTTCCCCTCCAAGAGGGCGCAGGGCGGCTCCAAGGGCTCCTCCGCGCCCGCGGCGAGGCCGGACTGTCCCGGCGACATCAGCGCCATCGTGAAGATCTCGCTGCTGAACGACCAGCACAAATACGACGACGTGGAGTACGAGGAGGAGGACGGGGATGTGGACGAGACCGTCATGAGGAAGTGCAAAGAGTGGCTGAAAGGCGTGGAGAGCGCCGCCGCCTTCAGCAAAGTGGACAAGCTCTCGGCTCTGCCGCACCTCAAGGGCTGCTGATGATGGCGATTCGCTGGGAAAAGACACTGTGAAGGACTCCCTTGAAGGGGAACTCCACCGGTTTTTCAAAATGTCTGCATAGCTCAGTGGTTGAGATGTAAACAGAGTCGTTTGATGTGATGGTTCGTTGTAGAGACTTTTTACAGTGGTGGTGATGGAAACCAGGGGTCACTGTATAATATAGCCATTTTATCTACTATCCGAATTTTGCTAGTTAGCCTACGAGTTCTGTATGTAGTGTTGAGGGTTTTAGTCATAAATCTGAAAAAATAAGTCATTTGTGGGGGCCTATTTTACTATTTTGCCTTATAACACCCTTCATGTATCCCTCCACCATGCATAGATAATAATAAATCGATTAAAACTCATTTTAGGCCAGAACTGTCACACATGAGGCCGAGTAGTCATTACATTTCATGTAATAACTCTCTGTGAGGGAGCTTTTAGAGGTGGACGTCTGGTTCCTATCACCACCACTGTGAACACTTCTCACCAAGTTTACCTAGAACGGATCATTTCACACCAGCCGCTCTGAATGACTTTGTTTACACCTAACCGCTTAATTATGCAGAAATTTTGAAAAGCCGGTGGAGGTCCCCCTTGAGACACTTTACCAGCTAACACGGACAGAGATGTTAGCCCATCAGCTCCGGTGTAGCCCGCCAGAGGAAACGGCTGGACGCGGTTTCTTCTCTCCCAGTGACTTTCACTGCTCTCTGTCTTTCTCCGCACGCGGCGATGCCGTAACAGTTAGTTTATTTATTTATTCCTCTTTTTCTGTTTTTGCACTCGCCTCTTTCCACTCAGGTCCGGCTTGCGCGCGCGAACTTGATTGGACGGCGCAAAGAAACGCGTGAAGTTGATTGGACAGCGACTCGAGGTGGCGACCAATAAGCGTTCACTTTCTTTGTGCCAGGAAAACAAAGGCTGTCACAGACGGCTGTGTCTGACAGTGGAGGCAGAGACGTTGAGAGTCGACTCCGGTTCCGATTCCGCGTGATGGAGTCGATTCCGCAATCTCGATTCCAAACACCAGGACTTACAGAAGGATGTCTGACAAAAATAAGTACATTATTGATTTTATTTACCCAGAGCGAGGAGATGTGGAGAACCTACAGTAGCTGAACGCTGTTGGGGGGAAAAAAATCAAAAACTGGTGTTCCTAATGGTGTCCAGTAGCCACTAATGGTATTGTTTGACTGATGGGCTGGTATCACAACTGACTCTAATGGCTTAGCAGGTGTTCTGGGACTGATTCCACATGCTGTTTTCTGATGGGATCTAAAGGTGTCCTTCAGAAAACAAGTGGTCTTTAATGGTGGCCGTTAAGCCAATTCCCTTTAGATAGCAAAACAATCATGGTTCTAATGGTCTTCGTTCAGCAGGGATTAAACTTCCCTACTGTAAAAAAAAAGGTTTCTATAGGTTCCAGTAGCCACTAATGGTATTTAGTGTTTTCCTGATGGGTTGATGTCACAGTCTAAGGGACTCTAATGGTTTAACAGGTGACCTGTGACTGATTCCAGATGCATTTGATAGTTTCCTACCGGTTATTTCTAATGGTAGCCATTAAGGCATTCCCATCAGGTTTTAGTCCAAGTGGTTCTGAAGGTCCTTTCAGAAGGGTGACTGGCAGGGACTTGGCTGAGCTGCACCTGATTCTCTTCTGTTATTTCTGTCTTGGTGTTTTGGCACTGTTGAAGTCTAAGCCAGTTTTAACAAATTTTCCATTTCATTTTCCACTTTTGTCTAACATGAAACGCAGCTGTTGTGAGTCGCTGTGTGGAATCGAGCTCCAGAGTCGACTCTTCATTCCCCGAATGCCTGGAGTCGGGGAATCGGTTCTTTTCGGGATCGACTCTCCAGCCCTACCTGACAGAAAATAAAAAAAAAAAAAAACATCAAGTTTTGTGCGGGAAGAAAAAAAATGCACGAAAATGTGGTTAAATAAACCAGTTTTGTACAGTATTTATTTTAAAAACGTTAAGCTGTATTTGTTGTGTTCGATATCTTGTCATTTTTAAAGTTTTTTTAAGAAATAAAAGGTTGAATCGAGTATTTGTTTTCATTTTTTCCCGCGTCCGTAAACACCCGTTTCCATGGAAACGCTTAAGCCTGTGCAGTCTGGTTGACTGTGGAGGGAAACATCGCGTTTGTCTGGTCTTTGTTCTCATGTGGTGGTATTGGACGTCTCACTGTCTGAGCTCTGTACGCAGGTTTAAAGGGGAATTTCACCGATTTTTCCAAATGTCTGCATAATTCAGTGGTTGAGAGGTGAACAGTCATTCAGAGTGGTGTGGTGTGAAATGGTTCATTTGCAGAGAAACTTACTGACTCAGATTTCTTTATAGTGGTAGTGATAGGAACCAGATGTCTGCGACACAAATATAGCCACTTTATTTACTATCCAAGCCCACCAGTGAACCTCCACGTGCCTTCTGAGTCTTTATGTAACACTGATAATGGTAAAAACAATGGTTACTGTGGGGGGGAAAAAGTTTTGGGGGGACTATAACACTCATTTAAGTGATAGGAACCAGGGGTCCCTATATAATATAGCCATTTAATTTACTGTCTAACATGGCCAGTGAAACACGTCTTCTGAGTTTGTAGTTTGATATTGGTAAGTCATATGACTGATATAATTAAGTCTGAAAAAATAAGGTTTTTGGAGGGACTACTTTGTCTTAGAACACCCTTCATGTGTCCATCCCACCTGAATGGGTTAAAATAAATTGATTACGTTTTAGATCAACCTTCATCACAAAACTACTGTGAAACAACGTCTCAGACATCAGGCAGTGTATTCATTTCCATTTCATGTATCTTTCTGTGAGGGAGCTTTTAGAGGTGGACGTCTGGTTCCTATCACCACCACTGTGAACAGTTCTGACTTTAAGGTTGTCTAGAACGGATCATTTCACACCAAACCACTCTGAATGACTTTGTTTACATCTTAACCATCTAATTATGCAGGAATTTCGAAAAAAAATCGGTGGAATGTCCCTTTAAGGAAGCTGAAAATAGACATCAGTAATCATTTGGCATCATTTTCGGTTCTTTTGCTTGTGCCGGATCCGAGTGTTTGGAAGATGTTTGGGTGGAAGATTTTGCTCTTTTTGAAAATCAAAATGTCCACATTCTTATCATAGCGAACGGCTAATGCTAATTAGCAACGAAGCTCCTCTTCGTCTGCGTAAAGCGCAGTGATTTTAGACTGAACAGGTGTGTTTTAGCTGTGGGTATCACATTTCACAGTTCCACCTTAAATGGTGCAGCAGTTACATGCTAGCGTCTCCGTTTAAGGTGGAACGGGAAAAAATCGAACAAGAAGCTGCAGACTAGGGAGGCAAATTCAGCCTCGTCGTTTTATATAACCTATTATTGTTGGATGTTTCTGCCGCCTTTAGCGAAATGTGGAGGGAATAAAAACCAAAAGAAGCTGAAGTTGTGAAAGAGAGAAGCTTTGAGGCTCGATCTGCCGTCTCTATGGCAACGGCCTCCTCAACACTCACTCTGTGTGTGCGAGTCTGCTGGCAGCGGCCGTGTCGGTGACTGATCACATTTACGTTAAGCGGATCGATCAGATGTGCAGACTGAGGTAAGTGTGATATGGACCGAGGGGTTCAAACATAGCAGCTCGACACACAGATCAGCACTGGACGCTGGTCAGATTCAACAGTTTCAGTTGTGGTAAATCACCGCTGTAGGCTTATTGGTCTGCAGTTAGTGTCTGAGAGCTTTGAATGAAGAGCATTCTTAAAGGGAAAGTCCACTGGTTTTTTCAAAGTTCCATATAATTAAGTGGTTAAGATGTAAACAAAGTCGTTCAGAGTGGTTTGGTGTGAAACGCTCTGTTCTAGAGAAACTTACAGAGTCAGAACTGTTCACAGTGGTGGTGATAGGAACCAGACGTCCACCTCTAAAAGCTCCCTCACAGAAAGTTACTACATGAAATTGTTATGAATGTCTTCACTGTCCAAAGAAAACCATGTATCTCCATTTTTGTCGATTTTTATTTTGCTACATCATTTCAACACGCCAGCTGTCCTTTACATTACAACATTTCTTGATCAATGGACCAATGTAAGTTCTCTAAAATCACTTGGAATAAAACCTCTTTACATTAGCTTACATTGAAAGGTAAAACTGTTTTTGCCTTCTCCTGTAAAGTTACTATACTGGAGACACTTGGTTTTCTTTGGACAGTGATAATATGCTGCCTGATGCTTGAGGCATTGTTTTACGGTAGTTTTGTGATAAATTTTTGGCCTAAAACGTCTTGTTAATCCATTTATTGTAATACATTCATAGCGGAGGGCTACATGCAAGGCAAAACAAAATAGTCCCCCCAAAAAATTTACATTTTTCAGATTTATCACTGTTTTGCCGTCATCAACATTTTATATAAAACTCAGAAGACACGTGTAGGTTCACTGGTGCTTTTGGATAGTAAATAAAGTTGCTACATTTATGTGTGTAGATATGGTGACACCTGGTTCCTATCACCACCACTGTAAAGAAATCAGAGTCAGTAAGTTTCTCTACAAATGAACCCTTTCGTATCGAGTCATTCTGAATGACTTTGTTAGCATTGCAACAGTGGAATTATGCAAGAAATGTGAAAAATGGGTGGAGTTCCCCTAATGCCACGGTTCTTAAATCAAAGGTTTTGATTTGCCAGCACAGTTCATTGATCTTCAACAACATGACGCTGAAGGTGCGAGATGTTCTTCACACCAGCTCTCTTCCCTCCATCCTGGACTCTTACGTGCCGTCTGAAGGCTTTGGAAAGGTATGTGCAGTTCCGGTCAAACAAGATCACTCTTTAAATGGGCAGTGTGAATTAGTCCACAGCAAGTTACACAATTTTAAGGTAACAAACTTTAACATTGCATTTTCATGTAAACCATATTTTTAAAGGAAAATACTACAGACAACATGTCAAATGTTGAAACTGAATCAACCTAATATATTACTGCCTATAAACTCACCAAATTAGAGAGCAGTGCAAATGTCAAAAACACGGTCAGAAGAAGTGCTCTGGGTCAGAAATGAAGTAAATGATATATTGATATAATCCCAATAAACGGTCCAGTTTATCAGTTTGTGCTCATTAAAATGTTCAGAGACACATAGACCACCCTTAATTTGTTTCATTTCCAGTCAAAATGGCCACTGAGTACACTGTTTGAAATAAAGGTGCTGTGCAGGTACATTTTTCATTCATCAAGGTACAAACAATGTAAATGTTCCCTCAAAGGTTCAACAGTGGTTTTAAGGTCAAACTTTGAACTTTAAGTAAGTTTTTCCAGGTGAAAAGTTCGTATTTGTACCTTTTCATAACCGAATGTTTTAAAACAGAACAGTAAAATAAAAGCCTGGAGACGAGACGGGGTGTGTGGAGTCAGTACAGCTTAGAAAATACCATTTCAGTGGATTATGGTACAGTTATGTTCCCTGACTAAAGGTACTGAGATGTAACCTTGAGGAGACCACCCCAGTGACAGTTTAGTACCCTTATTTCTGAGAGAGTACAATTTATTCATTTTTCAGTAGATGTGCCAAGAGATCAGATATAAAATAATTCACTTGCATAAGGAAGGAGAATATAGGTGAAAAATGGGAGTTTCCAAAACTGGAGTTCAGAAATGTCCAAAAGCTTCAGAGAAAATGTGTCTCCTAACAGCCACCTGGAAGACCTGTTAGACACCAAAACTGCCCCCATCAGATAAACAGCACTTAAAGCTTTCATCTCTGAGAGAGAGGAGAAAATCAAGCTGCTTCGGATCTGAAAACATCCACAGGTGTTTCTGTCCATCCTTCCACTGTGAGAAGACGACTCAGCGCTATGGGTCTGAAAGGATGTGTAGCTTTTCTCTCACTGAGAAAAGGAGACGGACAGAAAAGAAGACCAATTGCAGTAGAACACAAACACTGGGCATCTGAGACATGGAGGAAGCTTTTTTACATACTGACTGTTTTAAATCTGTAATTTGGATTATTTGGATATCTAAGACAGAACTTTAGAGGAATGGAAAAATATTCCTGCTGATTCCTTTGAAAAAAACTGAAAGTGAGTTTTCTGACAAGAATGGAAGCTGTAATAAAGACAAAGAGTGGACAGACTGAGTATTAAAAATCTGATACTATATTTAGTTGTTGAATAGCTTGTATTTAATGGTTATTTTGACTGGAAAATAAATAAATGAAGGGGGGTCTCTGACTTTTACACAGTACTGTATCGATCCCCAACTTTTTGTAATTTGTCGCCCTAGTGAATTAAAACGAAGCATTTGCTCAGCTCTAAAACGCTTCTACTTACACATTGACAGCGTTGCCAGGAAGAATTCATTAAATTCAGTTAGTAGATTAGCTGGCGAGAGATCAACGATCACCATAGCAATGCAAGCAAACTGGAGTGAAAAATGGTGTCGTAGTGTGAGGTCACAGCCATGTCAGCGCCCTGGCCCTCCCCCCAGTTCTTGGGACATCATGCACACTTATGTGGAACTGTTGCATAACAGTTCTTCTGTGCGGACCCACATTTGGTGTATTGTTCCCGTCCGTGCCGGCACAACTGCTCCACACATTTTCCTTGTTGGTGTAATTCATTTTGTGTTCAAGTGTGGACAGCTCGTACTGTGGAGCCTTTCACAGCGGGTCTCTGTGTGGGGTGGCAGCTGCGGAGTGTAAGGGTTTGATTGGCTTACATCATCAGCGAGCTGTCTAAAACCCAACACTTTTGTGTTCCCATCTACCGGTGGAGAGGAACTAGAAGAAAGAAAATACAAAGAAATGACTGCTGAGATGGTCACCAAGGTTACAGCCAGCAACACAGTCTCCTCCACCACCACTTCCATCCCACTGAACCTCCAAAACCTTTTTTTGTGGTCAGAAAAGTCATTCTCTCCTTTCGATTCAGCTCCTTTCACACTTTCTCTGCCCTGTTCTGCAGTTCTGTTGTCTGTAGCTTCTTCCACCTCTTTCTGTTCCCCTTCTTTTATTTCTCCTGTTGCATATTCTTCACGTTCTTCTCTTCAAATTCTGTGGGAGTGAGCAGGATGGGTCTAATTCTGGTCATGCTCGGGTGCTGGTAGGCTTAATGTGAGGTCTGGTCTCTGATCTTGTCCTCTTGTGTTCCTCTCAGAGTCCAGCAGTATAGAGCTGATTCATGGTGGACATGGTCAGACAGATAGACGATGTTGTCGCCCAACTCTCCGCCATCACTCACTGACCTCTTCTTTATGTTGTTTAGCAGCAAGATAACTGTATGGCCCCTTTACCCTTTCCTTTATGCATTGCTGTGGCAACTGAGCTGATAAATGCCACTTCCTTCTAATGTCCTTTGTGAGTGTCCACAAAGCCCAGACTTCCTAAACAGGCTGGCCCTGTAAAATGTGGGAACATGGGCATTGAGGGGCTGCCAGCCGGGCGTCTGGCCTTTTCCTCAGGAGAACAAAGCAGAGACTGATGAAGTCTCTGTGCTTTCTTAATGGGACAATATACTGCAACCTTCCACATTCAGTAGCCATAATACTGAATACAGGCAATCTCTTATCACTGCCCTTTTTATGGGGCTACATAGAGGAAGGGACTCTCTGATTTGTATTATGCATATACATATCTACATGATTTATATTCATAAACAGTCAAATGCAAAATATCTCTGCTCAAAGTGCACATTTTGTGGATTTTCTAAGTGATAACAAACTGAAATATGCCAACTGAATATATGCAAATTTTGCATGATTTCTGTTCATTTGCTGGTACCCCTTTAAAATAAGTCTACTTTTTATAAGTGTTTAAATGGTTTAAAAATAGTTTGTTAATATTTATTAGTTAGGTCATAAACACTTCATTAATCATTAATAAGCTATTATAACACATCAATGAAAAGGGCAAAAGTGGCTGTTATATCTGATGAATATAAATATGTGATGAAGCTGACAGGTTTAATGCTGACTGATGGAGACAAAGTAAGATCAGTAAATATAAAAATCTGCAGTTTGACAGTATAAATGAATGTGAGTTCACCGTTAGGCAAGCAACAGGTCACTGTGCCCTTTTTAATTATGTGTTGTAAATGCTTATTAATGATTTTAAGGTCTTTAAGACCTAATAAATAACCATTAATGAACTCATTTTAAACCATTCACAAACTATTTATAAGGATAGTCTTATTTTAAAGTGGTACCCATATTAGAGAAAAATGGAAGCTAAAATATAAAATGTGCCTCAGGCCACATTTTGTGTTTTATTTATTTTTTTCAGTATGTTAAGTTCAGCAAATAAACAGTAATTGTGCATTACAATGTGCTGAAGTGTTACATGTGTTTATATATTTTCACTTGGAAAAGCAATAAATCATGTAATCTGACTGGGGTGCACAAACTTTTGCACAAAACTATGTATCTTAATTTCTTTCTTTTGGACCTTTGAACCCCAGGATTATCATTCAGTTTTTATTCTGAAGACTTAATATTCAGTAACTACTAACAAAACTAATGTGTGAGTTGTGTAGAGTGAAAAACAGAAGTGTGGGCCCACATATGGACTCACAGCGTTTTTAAATTTAATATATTTTTTGTGTATTTAATCGCAGTCAGACCACTGAGCTGGGAAACCGTGTTCAATCAACACTATATTCAGAGGTAGCGCGGTCTATTATTGGTGTCCTGTGTGGGATTTGACTAATCAACCATCCAGCGAATAAATCATACCAAGAATTAATGACAACGCTCACTCAGGCAGAGATGGTCACCTTGGAAACCTTAGTAGGGATTCCAACTGCTTCTTGAATAGCTTCAAAACTGTTTTGTGTGGTCCAGTGCCCCCACAGTCTGTTAAATGTGAAACTATTACTGGAACTGGCGAGTGGGAGGTATTCAGAAACCTGCGCTTACAAAGGAAGCTTGCAAAAGGAAACTGGAATGAAGCCTGGACTAAGTAAAGAAGTTACTATGAGTGCTCCCTTCCAAGAGTTACGAAACAAAGGCAGAACAGGGACAGTGACATTTCGAGATATCGTAAAAGTTAGATTTGAGACGTTTTCCAGTTTTAAGTAAACTTTTGTGTATTTATTATGAACAGTACATATTTTTAATGTTTATATACGTTTAAAACATACTAAATATATTATTTAGGAACAACTCATGACATCTTAAGTGTACTTAAATTGCGATTATTTCTCCACTGTCCAAAGAAACACAGGTATCTCCCAAAAAGTAACTTTACAGGAGAGGGCAAACACAACCTTTACTTTTAATGGAAGTCAATGTAAAGAGATTTTATTCTAAGCAGTTTTGGAGCATTTCTATTGGCCCATTCATCATGAAATTTTCACACAATGTAAAGAACAGCTGCTAGGGCTCCAATTATGTTTAAGCATGCTGCAGTATGTTAAGTCTGTTTCTATTTTACTATTCCTTTTTATTCCAGTGTATTTCCTTACAGCGTATGATTTATAGGCTGTTCTTTGGTTGAGGGTCCCTAAAACCATTTGAAGCCTGAGCAGATATCATCTTGCACACACTGGCTCTAGAAGATGAGAAGAAATATCTATTGTTCCATCTGGGTGTGTGCTGATATTTAATTATAAGATATGCTGCAGAGATGTTCACAAGTTGAGTCATGTGAGTCTGAGTCTGCTCAGATTTCTAGTAAGTGAACTTTAGTTTTGTTACTATTGTATAAAAGTTACCACCTCCTAAAAACCTGTCAGGTTCACCATCGCTTCAGTATGGCCTTTCAGTATAGAAAAACCGGTAACACTTCACTATAGGGTGCTGTTCATAAGGCTATATGACACCTACATAAACTTGTCAGGACAACTGACATAACCCTCCATACATGTTTATAAAGCCTTATTCTAATAGGTGTAATTTGCTATAAGGGTTACATTTGCCAGTTTTGATCACAGTTAGCTAATGTGTGGTTAGGTAATGTGTGGAGTATTAGGATTAGGTTTTGGGTTGAGATTAAGGTTAGGTTTAGTATTGGGGCCAGGGTAAGGGTTAGGATTAGGTTTTGGGTTGTGGTTAAGGTTAGGGTTAGGATTAGGGCCAGGGTTAGGATTAGGTTTTGGGTTGAGATTAAGATTAGGGTTAGGATTAGGATTAAGTCTTGGGTTGAGATTAAGGTTAGGTTTAGTATTGGGGCCAGGGTGAGGGTTAGGATTAGGTTTTGGGTTGAGGTTAAGTTTAGGGTCAGGATCAAGGCCAGGGTGAGGGTTAGGTTTTGGGTAAGGTTGGTAAGGTCCGGTTTTGTGTAATGGAAGTAACATATTAACAACACATCTACTTAATATAAGTAATGTATCAACAGAACATCTACAAGATATTTACTTCAGTGTATTCAGATGCTTCACTACTGCTGCTTCACTGATATGTTGTTGATGTGTTACTGATAATCTGTTAGGAGTTTATTAATCATCTACAAAGGACCCACTCCAAATAAAGTACCTTAACTCAAATAAATACTTCAACTTTTAATGTAAAGAGATTTTATTCCAGGCTATTTTGGAGCATTTCTGTTGGCCATTTATAATGAAATTTTCACACAATGTAAAGAGAACTGAGCTCAAAGTATGTAGAAAACTAAAAGAATCAAAAAAACTGAGATACCTGTTTTTTGGGTTTTTTTTATTTTTATTTTTTTCTTGGGGAAAAGTATTCTGGCAGTTGCAAGATGATGATCAGCTGTGGCAAGATAAGTGATGTTATGCGCCTACTAACTGACAGCTGTAATCCAGAGGCTCCTGTCTGGGGTCGTTAATTTTGAAATGAGGTTGTGAGAAAAATCTGGAACTAAAAATGGAAAGAAAAGACATGATTTATTTTCTTGGCATCACTGTTGCCTTCTGGGTCTGAAAAGTCGATGCTAATTATGTCAGTATTTTGGATCCAAATGTTATTCATTTAGAAATCCTAAAGCTTTAGGGTCATTATTGGCTTAAAATCACACCCAGCTCTCGTCTGCTCTTTCCAAGAATCAGCTGTTTGAATGTAACAGTTGACTGTCTTGTTCTAAGCCACCTGTTGTGTCCTGTTGTCATAGCGTAATTGCAGGTTTGCATTCCAAGTGAGCAAACTAGCCTCTCACTCTGTTGCGTATGAACCTGTGCAACTGGTACGGTCAGAAGATGACCATCACTGCCCCGACTGACCCCAAGGGCAGCTCCTGACGTGCAACATAGACATTGTTGTGCAACACTGTGAGCAGCAGCATTACATAAGAACAAGAGTGTTCTACACTACATGGTAAAGGGGGGTGTTATTGTGTCCTCAGCAGTCTTGTATTGATGCGCTGGTGAACAACAGCTTTGTGAAATTGTTTTCTGGGAATTTACGTCCAGAAGAAGACCAGCACGGTTTGAGGTTGCACGTCAGAACACTTTCCATCTCAGCCTTTCCTTCAAAGGTTGTGCGAGGGGAAATGGGCCCTTCTTGACATCTGTGAGAACACAATGTCTGGGCAATTTGAGTGTGATTACTGGCCTGTTCAGGACAAATCAAAGCGATTACTGACTAATGGATTATGGTCTGAGGCAGAAAGACAGATGCATCTTGTTACTTAACAGGCTTATAAGTGTTTTTTTCTTCCTTCCGCAAAAGACCGCCCGCGTGGTCAAAACTGTGACGCAGATGAAGAAGCTGCAGGCTAGAAAAGACAAGGAGGCTGTTCTGCACTCCGGCCCGGCTGCTGATTCTGACGAAGCGGCTGAAGCCAAACAGAAATTTCTGCTTGATCAGGTACCAGTAAGGAATCACACCATTCAGCAAACATCCTTCAGTATAAATCCCTTATATCTGCCCCATAAAACAAAATCAGTCTATTAAAAAACTTTGTCATGATTATTGCCATTAGGGAAAAAATCAATCACAAAAAAGTCTAATAATTACTATTAAAAACATGCACAAAAACATGGGCAGTATTAGATATAGGCATTTAGGCATAGTTGCATATTTGATCACAGTTATTTTATGACTTATGTTGGATGGTTTTGGGAAAAAATTGCCTGTAGAGCTCTGTACTCTGCATTTTCAAACCTTTGTTGCAACTTCCTCTCCAGTTATGTGTCATTGCTATTATGGTACATTTTAAAGGGGATTTTTGCTGATTTTTCAAAAATTCTGCATATATAAATTGTTAAATGTAAACAAAGTGAGAATGATTTGATGTCAAACAGTTTACAGTTCACTGTCAGAAATAAAGGTGCTGTGCAGGTACATTTTTATTCATCAGGATACAAACAATGTAAATGTTCCCTCAAAGGTACAACAGTGGTTCTAAAGTCCAATTGTGTATCTTAAATAAGTTTTTCCCAAAAAACAGGATAAAAAAATAAAATAATATTTTTAAAGATAATAGTATAAAGGTCTGACATCCAGAAAGCTGCTTGTCACTGTAATGTTTGTGCAGTAAATATACATTGGTTGTTGTTGTTTACAGACTCTCTATAATTAATCTAAATCTGTTTTTTTCATGATCCCTGCATTCAGTGTTCTCAAAGTACTGAACATAGACATAATTTAGAAAAGTGTATCGGGACATAATTTATCACGATAGCGATAAAACATCATCACATTGCTCACCCCTGCCTGTACCTTCGCTGAATCTGACACCAAGTTAATTATCTTCTGTCCTAAACTTCTGAACGTTTGCATTGTTTAGGTGGGGTTGAATTGCAGCATAATTATAGCCCTGATAATCAGAGTGACATTGATGGATCAGCAAACTAACACCAGAACAAAGATCCCCAGTAACACTAACACTTCAGAGAACTTCAGGTGCAGAGCTGGTTAGAACAGTTTAGAACAGATTGACACAGATGGCAAAGTGAGGGCCTTATATAAACCTTTTTTGGGAAAAACAGCATGTAGTTGGAGGCTTTCTCTTATGTGTTGTAGTATCAGCTCTTCATAGTTTATTAGTATATTGATTGTACTGAGGTTTAATTTCAAATTACAGTCAATATTTCTAGGCCTACCTTCAGGAAACAAGAAATATCCCTATAATTTATTATAATTTATTTATTATATAATATTATTTATTTATTATATATAATATTATATAATTTGTTACTCTAATAAATAATGTAAATAATCTTAAATTATAATATTGTGTTGCTTAATCACTTTAAAGCCCAAAGGCCCTTATACGGGCCCACACTTTATAGTTTCATAGTAGTTCATGAATAATTTTTACAAAATAGTGACTGAATTTTTTTATTATTATTTGTTTTATTCATACTTAATCATTATGTATTATGATTTAAAACATTTGTAAGTCTAGGGTTCAGAGTTAGATTATCAAAATACATTGAGAACAGACACTTTTTAAACCAGTTGGAGTTAATAAGTTACATTACATTTCATTTAATAATTGAAACATGCACTATGTAGACGTAATATCCGTCCAGTCATTGGTCTCTAATGTAAGAGTTGATCATTTTTCATCCCAAACTGGTGTTTCAGCTGAACTCTCAGATGGTTTCTTCACTCTATCTTCTTACACTTTAGCGCCATCTAGAGACGTACCACAGGATTCACCGCCTGAGGGACAGACTGTCTCACCACTACGCTGAGTTACTGAGAGAGAAGGTCCAAAGACAACGACTGGAGATTAAACTACATGATTCAGCCACTTTGGAAAACAGAGCAAAGCGCATTGAACAGGTAACTCCATCTATACACCAGTTCAGGTCTATTATATTGTATTTTCTACATTGTACAATATGAGCCCCAATCTTTCAAAATCCAGTTTTTTGCAGATTACATGGATAGTGGACTGCACCCATTTAAAATTGCTTAGTACACTGGTTTGAAGGTCCAATTGTGAACTTTAAGTAAGTTTTTCCAGCTGAAAAGTTTGTATTTGTACCTTTTCATAACCGAATGTTTTAAAACAGAACAGTAAAATAAAAGTCCTGGAGACGAGACGGGGTGTGTGGAGTCAGTACAGCTTAGAAAATACCATTTCAGTGGATTATGGTTCAGTTATGTTCCCTGACTAAAGGTACTGAGATGGACCCTTGAGGGTCCCACCCCAGTGAGAAGGGGGGTCCTGCCCCGGTGACAGTTTAGTACCTTTATTTCTGAGAGTGCAGAAAAATAATACAAGTGCTTGATAACCTAACATTTTCATTGTGTCCCTCCTATTTCGGAAACCACTGCTGCTCCATATGTAGTGCACTATTTAGGTCATAAAGTAACAGCTTCTGCACTAAAATTGTATACTATACACTACATGGCCAAAAGTATGTGGGTAACTGACAATCACAGCTATATGAGCTTGTTGGACATCTCATCATTGCAAAACCATTGGTATTAATATGGAGCCAACCTCACCCCCCTCCTTGTGCCCATAATAGGCCCCATTGTTCTGGGAAGGCTTTCCACAAGATTTCTGAGTCTGTCTGTGGGATGTTGTGGCCATTCGTTCAAAAGAGCATTTGTCAGGTCAGGCACTGATGTTGGGTGAGAAGCTCTGGTTTGCAAACAATATTCCAGTTCATCTTGAAGTTGTTCGCTGTGGTTGAGGTCAGGACTCTGTGCAGGCCACTGGAGTTCCTCCACACCAAACTCATCAAACCATGTCTCTATGAAATTTGCATTGCACACAGGGGCTCAGTCAAGCTGGAGCAGGAAAGGGTCCTTCCCAAACTGTTGCCACGAAGTTGGAAGCATATAATTGCCTAAAATGTCTTTCTATGCTGTAGCATTAACATCCTTCACTGGAACTAAGAGGCCCAAGCCCTGAAGAACAGCCCCAGCCCATTATCCCTCCTCCACCAAACTTTACTGTAGGCACTGTGTATTCCAGTAGGTAATGTTCTCCTGACAATCGTCAAACCCAGATTCATCCATCAGACTCCAGTGAAGTGTGATTCATCACTTCAGAGAACACGTAAATACACCATTACCCCATGCTGAATATTTTGGTGTTTCTCCTGCTCGGACACCCCTGATCCAGCTTTTCAGCTAAATAACAGGAGCTGAAGTGGATGTCTTAGAGCAGGGATGTGCAGGGCAGGAGGACTTGGGAATTGGGAGCCACTGCAATAAAGGAATTCCCATCTTCAGAGCAATTGCAGGTTGTCACCAGCAGGTGGCAGCAAATGAAGACGTTTCAACCATTGCTTTGCTACTTTGCGAACTGTGCTCATAGAGAGAACTGTTAAGATACTGCTTATTGTGAGTGACAAATACAAGCCCTGAGACTGATATAAAATGCACTGAAACTAGTTTATTATATTTTGTAGTTTTATTTAAAGTGGTCGATGCTGACTGTGGGCAGTCAGGTGCCCTAGAAGGCTCTCTTTTGCTTTCCTGGTGAACCTTTCAGTGGCTGGTTCGTTTTTTATTTTCTGCATAATTCAATATTTAAGTTATAAGCAAAGTCATTCAGAGTGGTTTGATGTGAAATACTCTGTTCTAGAGAAACTTTCAAAAAATCTCTCAAAATTGTTCACAGTGGTAGCGATAGGAACCAGACGTCGGATAAATTCAATGCCTCTAAAATCTACCTCAAAGAAAGTTATTACACTAAATAGTTACAAATGCACTGCCTAATGCCAGATCTATTGTTCATAGTTGTGTAAAGATAAGATTTTGGCTTACAATGAATTTTAAAATATGCTTGTAGTGGATAAATACATGTGGGCTGTATAAAGAACACTTCTTTTTTCAAATTGACCACTATTTAACCATTATCAGCATTACATATAAAAACTCAGACGTGTAGGTTCACCAGTGGTTTTGGATAGTAAAAAAAATAAAAATAAACTGTAACTGTGCTCTGGTTCCTCTCACCACCACTGTAAAGAAAATTTGAGTGGTGAGTTACCCATTTCACACCAAACAACTCTGAATGACTTTTACATGTCAGTGAGTGAATTATGTAGAAATATTGAAAAATCAGTTGAATTTCCATTAGATTATACATTTTTGTGAATGTGTGTGTATGTATATATAAATATATATATACAGTCTAATTGAACTATCCACACCTAGAAATTTGTTCATTTTTAAGAGTCAAAATAAATAAAAATAACATTAAATGATGAAGTCTTACAAGTTAAACTACATCATTCAGCTTCAACTTTTGAGATCGCAGGCCTCAAACTGCCTCAAAGACTTCCTTTTTCATCCTTGTTTTATCCTTAGATCTTTCAGTTTATCCAGGACAGTTGTATATGGTAATGAAATCTTCAATGATTTGACGCCTTTCCCCCTCTGAGTCTGTGCCTCAATACACAACTGGGAGAATCAAAGCCTTACGCCCATCTATAGCCCCCCACTTCACTCAGCACACAAATACACACACACACCCCACTCTAGCTGCAAAACAAAGTATCCCCATCAGCCTCCATTTCCACAGATTCATTTCCTTTCGACCACCTTAACTCAGGATGTGGTGTGAAATTCAGAGTATACCTTTGGAATCTTTTCTACAGCAAATATCGTCGCTGTTGGGACAGAACTTTGTACCTCTTGAGGTCTTTTTCCCCTTTTTTTTTAATTACAGATTTTGAAAATGCCAGCTGGACTTTACATTGTGTGAAAATATCAAGATAAATGGACCAATAGAAGTGCTCCAAAATTACTAAATTACTTTGAATGCATTTTTTTTATATTAGCTTCCATTAAATGTTTGTTTTTTCCCTCTCCTGTAAAGTTGCCTTTTTGAAGGTATGAGGTTTTGTTATGACAGCGATGATATGAAGAATATATAATATATAATATATATAATCCTCCAAAGTCACTCACATCCTTGAGTGGAGCGAGTTGGAAGTGTAAACGAACTGAAAGCATTAAGTGCCAATTATTAAAGTGTCAAAATGTGTTCATTGTCCAGTATAAAACAACTTCACTGTGTGACCACATTGGATTTGATGCTGTGTTTTATTTTCACTAAGTAGCCTGTGTGAGTTAAAACTGCTGCATCATAGCCTACTGGGAAATAAAACAAAAAACAACAGTGTGTGCTGTACCTGCGTACAGCTTTGAAGTGCAGGTCTGATGCTGTTTAGGCCGAGAAGATTGAGGAAGCCCCTCATTTTAATATGGGGGCTGGGGGCTGTTGGTGCAGACTTGTGATTGACTTTGATTTTGGCCGTCTGGGCCGAGGACAATGAGGGTGAGAGAGGGAGAGTAGTGGGGGCGTTTAAGGTAAGGAGTCGGGGGTTGGCAGCTTTAGACGGATCCTGTCTTATCAATCTCCTCCTATAAAAGCTGGGCTTCTTCAGTGGGCTGTAATTGTCTCCCCTAATGACCCGCACTGGAGAGGAGGACAAAGGCAGCGCTATAAAGGACTTTATGAGCCTGCCGGTAGGAAACCTTTGGTGAAAAACAGAAGAAGAAAAAACTACTGAGCAAATGAAACTGCCCCGTTGTTTCCTCGGCCCAGGCCAAAAAAGCCCCCCAATCGAGTCTCCACGACGGGGCAGGACCAAAGCAGGCAGAGCCAAGGCCACCTGCTGAGGCCTAATTGGTCCCTGCTGCAGTTAATGGCTTCCTGTGGCTGCGTGTTTACTTCTCATTTGCTTTGGGTGCTGGGTTTCCCAGCCCTGCTGCAGGACGAGGCTCCTCCAGAAGCCTCAGTGTTCTCACCTCTTATATCTCTTTTGATGCCCTCTTCAGTTCTCTTTCTTCTCTTCCAGAGAGCTCGAAAGCTGACCATCCAGAAGTTCGCTGGTTCAAGCCTTGAGCATGACGACACATACCTGAGGGCTCTACCTAAAACACGCTATTACCTGGTGAATCTCCCATATTGCACGTCTTAAAGGGCCCATATCCTACATCTGTGTACTTCTGGGGTGCGATTATTACATTTGTGTGGTTTTAAATACACACATTTTATGTCATAGTTCTTTTTTACACATCCTCTCCTTAGAACACATCCTTCCTTAGAAATTAACAGTCTGTTTTTGTTACTGTGCCTTTAAGACCAAAATATCGCTACTGTTAAAACAAAACCTCGCATCTCCATTTTTGTCATTTTGTCTTTTTTACACAGTTTAAATGGACCAATAGAAAAGTTCCAAAACTAGCTCCATTAACTTCCATTCAAAGTTTGAATGTTTTTCCTTCTCCTGTAAATTTACAATTTGGAGATACGAGGTTGAGTTCTGATAGGTAAATAATCTCTATTCTGATTGGCTGCACTGTATTGCGCTTCATTCAAAAAACAGACCAGCCTGAAACACTCCTTATAACTTCAGGACTGGGTGTGAATGAATGTGGCTAAACTTCTGTGGGCTGAATAGTCAGATATGTGTAAATACATTCGATTTTGTGACATCACAAAAACAATTGATTAAGAGCAGACTGTTTTTTAGCTTAGTTTCCATGCAGGTTTATGCAGAAGTCTATTAAATTGCTTGTTTTGTTGATTTTCTGTGTAAAATGAAAATAAGTTTGTCTACAAAGAACACACTTTTGCACAATTGTATATTGGCGGGGGGGTGGTGGTTATGGCACAATATATATGTTTTATTTTTGTCCAATATGTTAAACTCAAATAAATTGAAATAAGTAAAATGGTGCACTCAAATTTGCAGAAAAATGTCAATGCCAGGTTTGTTCTATGTAGAGGATAAACTTATTTTCACTACAAAACTACAAAACATGTTTAATTTGAACAGGGGTGTTTAAACCTTTGCAAATGACTGCATATAGACTGTATGGACTGGGTAAATATGGAAACATTAACAGTATTTATAGACTATAGCAAACTTTTTTAAAAAGTGAGAAAATTCAGTTTTCCATGATTTGGGCTCCTCAATGTAACACATTATCCCTCCTTCAATGGCCTCTAGTGGTCATAACATGAAGAGTGTTTGAAGCATATGAAACATGTACAGCTCTTCTGAGCTCTTTCCCTCATTGTCACTGTCATTGTCATGTGGTGACCGTCCACTGAGAGATCCTGGAGCTTCAGAGGCTTCTGAGCCAGCGAGGATGTCTGAGGGGTCCCAAGGAGCAGGAGGTGTTCAGGTCCTGGGTGGACCAGCATAAAACAGCACAGCTGGATAGACAACTGCAGCAAATGGGTGAGGAGAACCTGGAGAGTTCTTTCATCAATTCTACTGGTCATTATCAAGCCTTTAAACTGGAAGGTTTGGGGCCACACTTCAGTTCCTCACTCTCACAGCTACACACTGTTAGAAATAAAGGTGCTGTGCAGGTACATCTTTCATTCACCAAGGTACAAACAGTGTAAATGTACCTTGAAGGTACGACAGTGGTTTTAATTGTGAACCTTCAATGTGTTTTTCCAGGTGAAAAGTACGTATTTGTACTTTTTATAACCGAATGTTTTAAAACAGAACAGTAAAATAAAAGCCTGGAGACGAGACGGGGTGTGTGGAGTCAGTACAGCATAGAACATATCATTTCAGTGGATTATGGTTCAGTTATGTCCCCTGACTAAAGGTACTGAGATGTACCCTTGAGGGAACCACCCCAGTGACAGTTTAGTACCTTTATTTCTGAGAGTGCACAAACTTATATACTGTTGTAAGCAGTGTAAAATTTTCCAAGTGTAAAGAAGTTACACCATCTCTACAGAGAACACACTTCTGCACATTTTTATACACAATTACTGTTTATTTACTGAATTTAACACATTGGAGAAAATAAAACTAAAACTAAAATAAATAAATAAGTGTATATGAATAATATGATGTATAATAATATGATAATATGAATATAGTTATGGTGCATTCTGTATCAAATATTTTTTCCCATTTTTAAACACAAATAAGTAGAAATGTGCACTAAAATTTGCAGAAAAGTGCTAGATTTAAGTTTTTCCCCTGTAGATGATGAGTTCAATTATTTTGCCTTGTAAATTCAACCAAACATGTTGGAGATATTTGCATTTTTATGACTATTTATAGAAATAATTATATCTAAAGAATAATAATATATTATAAGATTCAGACAATAAGATTTGAGGTTAGTAATCCAATAATTTGTCAAGAACAAAAATAGGAGATGTTTTCAATGATAAGTAAGTCTGTTTGAAATGACTGAGGACCGATATATTTTAAGTAATTTTTCATGTAGATAGAGTTCAGTATTAACTATGAATTTGGATGTCAACAATACCTAAATAAAAATGCTGGGCCTGAAAGTCTCTAAAAAGCTGAGTTGTTGAGTGGAAAACTGTACAAAAGGGTTCAATCTTAAATCATATTCACTGTACAATAAAACATTTTTGGGGAAATCAGGCCTTAATAAATGACAAGATATCAAACTGAGTGTGCTTCTCAGGATTGTATCAGATGTATTTAGTCTTTGAGGAGAAGACCAGTCTCTGAGAGATGGTCTCATGATGACTGAGTTTCAGTGTCCACATTAAACTGCAGCTGTGTTGCTCATTTCATGTTGTCAGCGCTTTGCAGCAAGTCTGCTCCAGGGATGGAATTGGAGGACTTACTGAAGGAGAAGCAAGAAGTTCTGCCAAAGATACAGATCTCAACTGATGAAAACCAACAGGAGGAACAGGAGCATGTGAGGATCTAGTCATACTTCTCTCTTCCTTGACCAATGATTGTGCACAAGTTAGAGACCACCTTTAATTCGTTTAATTTCCACTCAAAACGGTCATAAAGTCGAAGTTATTCACTTTTCAGGAGATTTTCTGAGGAGATTAGATATTAAATAATCCACTTGCATAATGAAGGAGAAAGTAAAAGGAAAATAAGTGAAAAAACATAAGTTTCCAAAACTGGAGATGAAAAAAAGATTAAAAATTTCAGAGAAAATGAGACTCCTAACAACCACCTGGAAGACCTGGTCGATACCAAAACTGCCCCCATCAGATAAACAGCACTTAAAGCTTTCATCTCTGAGAGAGAGGAGAAAATCAAGCTGCTTCAGATCTGAAAACATCCACAGGTGTTTCTGTCCACCCTTCCACTGTGAGAAGACGACTCAGCGCTCTGGGTCTGAAAGGATGTGTAGCTGTCAAGAAGAACCTCACTGAGAAAAGGAGACGGACACATCAAACAAAGAAGCTGAACAATGGACTGACCACCCCAGAGTCCAGACCTCAACATCACTGAATGTGTTTGGGATTATTTGGATTGTAAGTAGCAGAAAATGCAAAACCAACTTCTAAGACTGAACTTTGGAGGTGTGAAAAATATCCCTGCAGATTTCTTTAAAAAGTTAAAGCAGGAAAAAATGGAAGTTATAATAAAGGTTAATGTGGACACACTAAATACTGAAAAAACTGATATCGAAGAGAATTCTTAAAGGGAAAGTCCACTGATATTTCCAAAGCTCCGTATAATTGAATGGTTAAGATGTAAACGAAGTCATTCAGAGTGGTTTGGTGTGAAATGCTCTGTACTAGAGAAACTTACCGAGTCAGAACTGTTCACAGTGGTGGTGATAGGAACCAGACGTCCACCTCTAAAGGTTCCTTACAGAAAGCTATCATGTGAAATGTTTATGAATGCGCTCACTGCCTGATAACTGACACATTGTTTTACAATAGTTTTGTGATAAAGTTTTGGCCTAAATGTCTTGTTAATCCTTTTATTTGAATCCCTTAATGGTGGAGGGGTACATGCAAAGCAAGGCAAAATTTACATACATAGATTTATCACTATTTTACCATCAACATTGTATATAAAACTCATGTAGGTTCACTGGTGGTTTTGGATAGTAAAAAATGGCTGTATTTGTGTTGTATACATTATTATTTCTGGTTCCTATCAACACCACTGTAAAGAAATCTGAGTCAGTACGTTTCTCAACAACAAACGATTCCACATCAAATCACTCTAAATGATCTCAACATTCAATTATTTGGAGAATTGGTGGAATTCCCATTAAAATGGCCTTTTTGACCAGAAATTAATAAATGAAAGGTGGTCTCTTAGGAGTTTCTTACATTTTGAGTTAAATGTATATACTGTACCTACACGGTACTGTCCATATTACAGACATGTGGTTGTTGTAGAGGGGGGGGATCTCCACTTCCTAAATCAGTGAAATGGATTAGGTCTTATCCCTGATGACTGTGGTGAGAGAAAAACCAACAGAAAAGAGTTTGAACTCAGCTCTGTTTCCTCTGCCCTGGCTCTGCCCTGTTGGCCATGCACAAACACACCTTCTGCTGGAAGCTTGTTTAGCCTCAGCCCCATGGGAAGAGATGGTCGAGTGCTCACGCAGCAGTGAGATGACCAAACAGAACCCCCCCCACCCCCCCAAAACACACACACACAACTCTCCCTCTGTTCACCACAGCACGGACAAACATCACCCAGGGGCGAATGTCTAATTCATTTCACATACAAAAGAGACAGACCAATTTGGCCTGGGATGTCACATCATGCCAGTGTAGGTCTGTTTAGAAACTCCTCCACCGAGTTGACGGGCCCCTTTCCAAAAGGCTACCTTAAAAGCCTTAGGACTACCTTAACCTACCTTTAGAGTGCAGCTGGCTTAAAGGGCCCACATCTTACATTTTTCTACTATTTTATTTTTCTCACTCTCCCCTTTAAGACTGATGTATGTAAATGAGCTCTCTTCTCATTGGCTGCCCTATATTGCGCCTCAATCAAAAAGCAGTCTGAAATACTCTTTATAACTTCTTTGTGACTGAATAGGTGGATCCTGACATCACATATAAACAATAGGCTACATTACACTACGTACATTACATTGCAGTGCATGCTGGGGATTGCAGTGCAGCACATTTTGTAACAGCACTGCAGTAATGTGTGTGGTGGTGGTGTGTTAGTGTGTGTTGTGCTGGTACGAGTGGATCAGACACAGCAGTGCTGCTGGAGTTTTTAAACACCTCAGTGTCACTGCTGGACTGAGAATAGTCCACCAACCAAAAATATCCAGCCAACAGCGTCCTGTGTGCAGCGTCCTGTGACCACTGATGAAGGACTAGAGGATGACCAACACAAACTGTGCAGCAGCAGATGAGCTATCATTTCTGACTTTACATCCACAAGGTGGACTGACAAGGTAGGAGTGTCTAATAGAGTGGACAGTGAGTGGACATAGTGTTTAAAAACTCCAGCAGCACTGCTGTGTCTGATCCACTCGTACCAGCACAACACATATTAACACACCACCACCACATCAGTGTTACTGCAGTGCTGAGAATGATCCACCACCCAAATAGTACCTGCTCTGTGAGGGTCCATGGGGGTCCAGACCACTGAAGAACAGGGTAAAAGGGGGCTAACAAAGTATGCAGAGAAACAGATGGACTACAGTCTGTAACTGTAGAACTACAAAGTGCACCTATACAGTAAGTGGAGCTGATAAAATGGACAATGAGCGTAGAAACAAGGAGGTGGTCATAATGTTATGCCTGATCGGTGTATAATAATTTCATTGGCCAGACAGGATTGTTCTGTGGGCCTGATCTGGCCCTCAGGCCTTGTGTTTGACATGTAGGCTTTAAAGGAATAGTTGAACAGATGTTGAGAAATGGCTTGAGGTGCACTGTTATACATGATTAGCAGTTCGGCATACAGAGTCAAAAGCACAGAACACTGCTGTCAAAACAAACCTCATATCTCCAAAAAAGTAACTGTACAGGAGAAGGAAGAAGCTTTCTCAACTTTAATTGTTAGTAACAAGATTTTTTTCTAAGTAATGTTGGACCCTTTTTATTGGTCCATTCATCACAAACTTTTGACCCAGTGTACACAACACCAGCCCTTTTCAAATAAGGTAAAGAAAAAGACAAAAATGGACACAGAAGGTTTTGGTCTGTTAGCAATGACGAGCAAGCCTATTTGAGATTAGTTAACAATTAAACGCTTTTTGAGTTTGTAATGATTTAGGTATACACTGAAATACTGCTTGCTGGGGTATAAGCTTCCATTATTTGTTAACTCTAAAGCAAAACTAACGAAACAAGCTTCAGACACCAAATGTAACTTAGCTGATTGGCTACATTTGGGATAAGACAGGAATCCAGTCTTATTTGCAAAGGATAAGTGTGGCTGCAGGTGTTTGTAGACTGAGACCATCTGATCATACAGGTGGAATCAAGTGTGC